ATACCATAATTGCGATAGTTTAGGGTCCTTAAGGTAATGCAGGATTTCTATCATCAACAGTAGGAGGGGGGGCGGGAAAATGAGTGGTGCCATTCCTTTGGGGCTATCTATGATACTTAGAGCATGATATGCCCCAATAACAGTTTAGGGTTTAGGGTTGTATCTAGCCCCCTATTATGTTGGGACCACTCTACAAAATACCCTGAACCCTAAACCCCTGAACCCTAAATCCTAAACCCGAGCACTCTAAAAATTCCTGCGGAGTTTGCTATTGCTGGGCCTTAACGAAGGGCCACCAACCTGATCGCTTCGAAAGCCAGGGTCCTGAATTCTAACCCCTGATTTAATTTAGGGCTTTAGGGTTTAAGGTTTAGGGGGGGGTTTAGGATTTCGGTTTAGGGTTTTAAGGTTTAAGGTTTAGGGGGGTTTAGGGTTCAGGATTTAGGGTTTAGGGTGTAGGGGGTTTAGGGGGTTTAAGGTTTTGGGGCCTTGAATGATGTAAGGTCTGGACTACTGCAGGCGGAGCCCGAGACCGGAACCACAACCCTGAGGTTTAGGGTTTAGGGTTGTAGGGTTTAAGGTTTAGGGTTTAGGGTTTAGGGTTTAGGGCCCCCATCAAGCCTTGCAGACTCTAATGCTTGAGCTCCGACTCTGGAGCTTCGATACTGTAGGGGCTTGAACAATATTAATGAGAATAGGGTTTTGGGTATATTATTATATCCTAATCATAAAAAAAGAACCCTCAGAATAGGATTGGCAATTGTTTAGGCCCAGGCTACTTTGGGGATAAGGAGAATAGCAAGAATAATAAGAACCCACCAAAAAAAAATAAATATATATATATAGTATTGGTCATTATGTAGGCCCCTAGAGTACTCTCAAGCTGGAGCCCTAAACCTGTTTCCCAGGAGGGATGTACCCACCGTCCTCGGCTGGATCCGAGACAAGAGAAGCGAAAGCCCGTGACGCAAAAAAAAAAAGGAGCTGGGCGAGCCTGTACTGCTGATGACAGAAATCATGCATTGCCCAGGAGACTAGAGACTATGGGAGTTTTATGGTATATTCCTAATGATGGGTACTGCTGCAGGATTCATATCATCAACCGTCGATTTGGTTCTGTGTTTTAGGGTTTACCTGTAACCGAAAAGACCTACGGTTTTAAGAAACTGTATATAGAAACCTTAGTAAGGAACCCTAAAAAGGTAGGTCTTTTCCGTTACAGGTTTAGGGTTTAGGGTAAACCCTAAACCCAGAATCCCTTGAACGGAAAACCCTAAAGGGTTGAGGCTTCTTGGAGTCTACCTTCATAAGGCTGGCTTTAGACTTCCGGCAGGCTCCAAACCCGAGACCCGTCCCCTGAAACACCTTCAACAGAGGGGGTTGGAAGGGTCTTGGTTTTCGCTTTTTAAATGCGCTATTCTTAGTGTTTTGATTACTAGCATTATTGATATTATTGCTATTCTTATTATTCAGAATAGTAGTAGTCGTCGTCGTTTTTGATTATATATTGGTATTATTGCTATTTTCTTCACCGCTTTTTCCAAATACGGTGTTGCAGAGTTGAAGGAGAGGGGCCCTCAGGGCAGAACCCACCCGTAAGTCAAAAGCCACCAGTCCCACACCCCCGAAACCCTTATGCAACTAAACCCGCAGACTTTCTATAGCGTGGTCCCGAAACCCCAAACCCCCAAATCCCTAAACCCTAAACCAGGTTCATAAGCCCGAACGTTCCTGCTAGAGGCTTAGAGCGAGGTTTCCGTCACTCCAAATCCAGGAGTTCCAGAACAAGGGTTTGTTTAGGGCTTTTAGGGTTTATAGGGTTTGGGGTTTAGGGCTTCATCATGACATACACCTAGGCTCCACAGTAGTTCCTTTTTGGGATCCTAAATACAAACCCACAAAAAGGGGAACTACTCTATGGAGCCTATATGGGTAACTATGATTCTATCCGAAGGTTACCGGGTTCTTGCTAAAGGATTTAATTTAAGTTACCTTAATAAGGAAACCCAATTATTTGCTATAGATCCCGATTATGGTAGCTTAAATGCAGTCCCTTAACAAGAACCGATCTCGTGGGTTCATCCTCAGGGGGGTCACAGGAAAAGCAACGAGTTACTAGTAGGGTTAGGGTTACAGGGGCCTTAAAAAACTACCTATGATGTTTTTTGAGGGGCTCCTTATTATAATTATAGTATAATATACCCCAAAACCCTATTCTAAGGCTCAGGCGATCGCAGGACAAGGTAGGTTTCTCCCAACGACTCTGTCGTTGCACCTTGTCCATAGGAGCCCGCGTCATGGCCTCTGGTACTGCACGGCTCAGTGCCGCCGTGAAGGCCGCGTGCCAAGCGAAGGCACCAAGGAGAACCATTGCGGCGATAGCCGCTGCTGTGACCCAGGTGCTTACGCATCCGGTCCCGGCAGCAGTGGCTACCCCGGCAACGGTCCCTGACGTGCCGCTTGGCTCCCTGGAATCCCAGGACGAGCTGGAGCTGAAGCTACGCGAGGTCAGACTGGCCAAGCGACGTGCGAAGCGACAGCGGCGTCGTGCTAAAGCAAAGGCTGCTGCTAGCATGGCGGATGCGAAGAAGCCTTTCGCTTCTACATGGGATGAGGTTCCGCAGCAGCTTATATCCACATCGGGGATATGTGAGATGGATGCTGACATTGCAGAGCCGTCAGAGGTCAAAGCCGCGACACAGACCAAGCGGAGGCCCGTGCCACAAGTGGACCCACAATTCCTAGCCGAAATGGAACGTGAACGTGAGAGACAAGCTCTTGGACATGTAGGGACTTCTTTGACCCCAGTTCTTTCCGCTACACATGGGGCCAAAGGACGCAAGCCTAAGCCGGACCATAGTCAGCAGCCTGCAAGAAGAGGTCCGTACTAATTAATCGGAGTCACCAGGAGTCGACAATGATTCTCTGTGCTGCTCGCTTTTGTGCGCGCCCTAGGTGCGATTTGTTAGGAGCACGGGCAAAAGCCCTGTGTGAAGGATGCTTCGGACCGCCTCATGGCCGCATCACCCCAAAACCCTATTCTAATTACTTAAGGCCCTTGTATTACTCTCAAAACGGTTATTTGTAAGAGCTACTCTGAGAGTGCCTCGAAAGGCTACTCTCAGGAGTTACGCTTTCTGCCAGGCTGCTACCTAGAGTTTTTTTTGTCAGGGTTTCAATGGGTTCTGTAAGTTCTGCAAGGTTTCGAGGGATTCGATCACGGTGTTGAACGCTAAACCCTTAAGCCCCAAGAGCTTAGGCCCTAAACCCTACGAGCTTAACCCTAAAACCCGTTATATAAGCCCTTAAGGCTTTTTCCTTCGGCTTTTGGAGGCTAGTGTAAGTGTCTAATCGAAGACCCGAACACCTTTGGAGCTTGAATCATCTGCACGTGACAGTGGGGATTCTTCGTCTGATTTCCGTAGTTCCTTTTAGTGTTCCCTTTGTGGGGCCCCAGCCGTAGCCGCAAAATGGGGGGACCCAGAGAAGCAGCTACAATGGAGATGGAGACGATTAGCATTGCCTTGCCAACTAGGTTCCCCAGTAGTACCCTTTTGCCCCCTTTTTCTTGGGTTCCCTTATTAACACCAAATAGTAGGAAAAAGGGTACCCTTATTAGTAAGGGGCTAGTGGGGAACCTAGTCAATGGGTACAGGGCGTTTTCTGTACCCAGGAGGAGGGGAGTTCTTAGAAAACCTCTACACCACTATACAAAACCCTGCGAAAGCCACGTCGGCGCGATTCTTTCAAGCACTTCCACCCATACACACTCTCACTCTCTGTCTCTCCCTCTCTCTCCCTCCCTCCCTCCCTGTCTCTCTCTCTGTCCTCTCTCTCTCTCTCCCTCCCTCTCTCTCACATCTCACACATCAAGCCGTGTTCCAATCCCGGAAGACTGAACACGACCTCCAATCTGCGAAGCCCGGAACCCTAAGAGGGGTGAACTTTAGCACAAAGCCGTTTAGGAGTTTAGGGCTTCTAAAGTTTAGGGGTTTAGGGTTTAGGGATTTGGGGCTTTAGGGTTTAGGGATTTGGGGGTTTAGGGTTTAGGGGTTTAGGGTTTAGGAGTTTAGGGTTCAGGGTGTTAGTGCCTAAGCCGTTTGAAGAGGCTGCATCCTCAGATGTTGGCGCTGCACCTGTCCGGTCTCCCTGAATCGAGCTGTCTTTCTGGCTTGCAACGGTTTCGGACGGCGTTCTAGGTTTGTGAGAACAAAACTTCGGGTTGTACTGCTGATGATATAAATCCTGCATTACCTTAGGGACCCTAAACTATGGGAATTATGGTATAAAACCCTAAACCCTAAACCCCTATACCTAAACCGTAAACCCTGCAAGCCCTAAACCCTAAACCCCTAAACCTAAACCCTAAACCCTGCAAACCCTAAACCCTAAACCCTAAACCCCTAAACCTAAACCCTAAATATTCCTTGTTATGGGTAATGCAGGATTTCCAGCATCAACCGCAGGGTTGCAAGATCGCGGGTTGGGCGCTGGGCTTTCCGGTCTAAGAGCGGACTGTTCGGAGAGTGGGGCTTCAATATACCCGAAGGCTGCATATAGTAGTTCCTTTTGGGGGATTTAGGGTTTAGGGTTTAGGACTGTTAGGAGAGTGGGGCTTCAATATAATTTTGGGTATAGGGTTTAGGGGGTTAGGGTTTAGGGTTTAGGACTGTTAGGAGAGTGGGGCTTGACTATAATTTAGGGGCCTAAATAATTACCAATACTATTTTGAGGGCTCCGTATTATAATTATAGTATAAAGGGCCCCAAAACCCTATGCTAATTATTAAGGCCTCAAAAGAAATAGCAAACATGGCGTCGAGGTCTTTTTGTTGGGGGGGGGGAAGGTGGGGTGGGGTGTTTAGGGCTGACAGGCGACAAGGCATGATTCTGCCCAGAAGGGTTTAGGGTTTATGCAGTTCATAAACGTAGGCAGTTCATAAGCTTTGCTGCCGGCAACCTTTTGGCCCTGCAATCTAAAGACCAAGCCCACCCCCCATGTCGAAAGGCCATGTTCTTAATGATGAACCTCGTCATATCAGCCTGGAAGTAGTAGCAGTAGTTGGGCTAGTAGAAGTTGCAGGAGCAAGTGCCGTTTGATCGTTCTGGGGCGCTACAACCCTCATATTGGAATGCCAAGTTAGTTCAACCTGTACGCAGGTCCCCGAACGCCTTAGAAAACTGGACAAGCAAAGGAATCACATGAGCGAGCTCGAAACAAATCCTGTGCTACTCACTCAACTGCTGCAAATTTTTGTTCTAATTCATCGGAGGTCTTGGCCTTTGCAACTGCATGAAACCTCTAGATGCATCAGCACCAGTACTAGTACTAGTACCAGTATTGTTGCTGTTAGTATCACCATTACTATTACTATTACTGTTACTGTTACATTATCACAAATACCAATAGCAGCAAGGCCCCAAGGCTCTTTGCTTTGCGTTGACAAGGCTCCGTACGCCGAGTCTAACCCAGAGGGTCGACACGTACGACCATTTAAATAACTAGGTTTCCAAAACCTGAATAGGGATGGCTTTTTGGGGCCGACTTCCATCATGTTAATGTGGCGGCTCATTTAGTAATTTGGGCGTCTTTAATGCGTTTTTTTTCCTTATTCAAGCCGGGTCCAAAAAAATGACCGGCTCAAATAATGCGTTTTTTTTTTTGGGGGG